GCCATTATTAGTCTCAAAGTGGGTTCCTCGTCATCGAAATTGTATGATTATTAACAGTACACAGATTTGCGAAATCTCAACTGTTTTGAAATATTTAGTTTAATAAATATCGCAGTAATTTAACAAACGAACTTTGCTGCTCAATTATCATTATTTAACTAACGCTTATGTTACATAGATTTGCACCTGATCTTTTACTGAACTTTATCTCAATGAGATTAAATTTACCCGAGTCTGTTCTACTGTAAAAGTTTATCAATAACGTTTGTTTTGTTTGAGCTTTGTTGTTTGTTCTAAATTCTCGCGTCGATGATCAGGCTCCCTCTAATGGACATTTTATTGTATTTTTCGTTGGTATACTATGTATACATTCACGAGTCAGAGTAACAAAAATTTAACACTGTCTCTGACTACAGCTACCAGATTTTATTCGAAATAGACTAGAATAAACACACGAAAAGCTTGTTTAATATATAGGGGTGTGTGAATATAAACAGGTGCTCAAGGTCATAAAGAAACGAGGTATAATAAAAAGAGAAACATTTTGCTTATTGAGAGTGTAACGTTGCACTTGGACTAAACACGTCTTTCTGTCTTTGAGTGATTATATATATTAGATATTAATATATACAAATAACACAAGTGAAGGTAGTTTATTGCTGATCTTAGATATTTGCAATTACAACAGATAAAAATATCATGAGTGGCATAACCCTCTTCTAATAATATGGACTAATAACTCCCTGGTGACGCAGTATATCTTTCTGCAGAGATGTAAATAATGCGACAGCAGAGACTGAGCTCACGTCATTTATCAAAGTATTTTATACGATCATACAAAATATCTGTGGCCAAAACATGATACATATCAACATGCACAATTTTACAAATAGACCAATAACTTTTTTGCATAGGACACACAGGCCTAATATTGCACTTGATATCATTATCGTTCTCCTAAAATATATTCCCAGTGTTTCGGGTTATTTTTTCAACAAATAAAAAAAAAGTAGTAATTAATGAATAAAGAAGAAGGATCTAATGCAACAGGCGCAGCCTAGAGAAACTTGGGTACACGTCTCACTCTTTGTTATCGTCATTTTAATGATACGCGTTGATAATAACCAATAGTCAACTTACTTGTGTAACTTTCCTGTTTCATAGCCACGTGTCATTTCTGCAGTTAATATTAGAAGAGGGAGTTGTGTTATGTCCCGTAATTCGTACAAAAACTATTTATCTTATTACGATACAAGTCGATACGTACGTGTTTTCGGACACAAATTGAAACTGTAATATCGTAAGCATTTTAACACAGTCAACAGTTAGTAGTTACTCACTGAAAGACAACGTAGCAAATACTCTTTCGTTTTATTTCAACCTATTTGCTTGCCATAATGCGCTTGAAATATAAAAAAATAGTAAATTTAGTACGTTTTCTGAGAGTGATATATATAATTTTACTATGTCTCGTCCCCTTCACTAAATCCGAGAAAGAGAAGACTGAGAATGTTAAAGACGAACAGGAAGTCGGTATTCAAGAAGGATCCGAGCAACTGAAAGAAGATATGAGCGTTGAATTCCTGAACAAACCAGAGAAGTGTGACAGAATTACTAAGAAAGGTGATTTGCTTACTATACATTACAAGGGAACATTAGAGGATGGTGAAGAATTCGACTCCAGGTAAAACTTAGTTATTTTAGTGTGTACATGAGTCGTATGTTAGTATATAAGTTATTAGTGTCAAACATTGAAATGTTAGAAAAATAAATGTTGTGTGTCAAGACAAAAATAGTGTAAAGCTTTATAATATCATTATATGATTGCTTTTACTTTTAATAAACGATACACCCTTTAATATATCTAAAGCTTTATATTCTTCCAAAACTTCGATTGTTGTACTGTTCTCATTAGATGTATAGTATTGTTACGTCTCTGGTCGTTAGTTAATTTTCCGTATAATTTCTTTCCGAAGAAACTTTAGCGATACAAGTCCTTTCTTAAATAAAACAGGTTTATTCTTTCTGGATACAACTTTGCAATACACTTAATTTCCACAGTCACGCTATAACAAACACCATAATTCACAACGAACGACTCACGTGCTCGACTCAACTGTCCGTCTCTGTCTGCAGTTCAATTACATTACATTGTTGCCGTCAGTTCTTAGCGGTCTTATATATACAAGGATACCGCATATCTAGTAACCTCTTGAGACTTCACGAACCTTCGAGAATATGACGTGTTACTAGCGTCAAGTGATCTCCGCTGTCGTAACACTGCCCCTTCCTTAGTATTGTTCGTCCCGAACAATAGCCATGTTGCGTCAGCAAGGTCACGTGACTAGTATCACGCTACCCGTTTTCTAGAAATATCCTGAACCTTCGTGAATTGTCGGGATATTACTAGATTGGGGGTAGACTGGTATATATAAGATGGTCACAACGTGACGGGACAATGTGTAGGTAATGAGTAATTGAACTGCAGTCAGAAAGTGTGTAACTGAACGAGCTCGTGAGACGTTATAGCGTTTGTTATAGAGCGACTGTTGAAATTAAGTGTATCATAAAGTTGTATTCGGAAAGAATAAACCAGTTTTATTTAAGAAAGGACTTGTGTCGCTAAAGTTTCGTTGGAACGAATTTACGGAAAATTAATTAACAAACAAACGGAGATGTAACAATATATTCTGCCTCTAAAGAAGCCATTTCTGAGGCAAGCTGGTTTGAGGTAGAGATTTCCATCTGGTTTCAAGAGAGAGAGAAAGAAGTTACGGAAAATTAACTAACGAACGGAGACGTAACAAATTGGTGTCAGAGAGTGGGATAAAAAAAATGGAAACGAGAAGCGGCAAATCAAACTA